CAAATGACAATTATTACCCAAAAATTAAATAAATCACGTAACATCTATGCTCACCATACTCTAAAGAACAATATTATTCTCCTTTCAAACTTTTTAGATACTAAAATTATTCATTTGAATTAAAGTTGATCTTAACTACTAATTATTTTATAATTTATGATTAATTTGATAGAGTCACTAATTTATTTGAAGTTTTGATTTATTGACTAATTGACATGTATCTGAATTATACTTGCAAATTATACATTATTCAAAAAAATAATAATAATCGAGTTTTTTTTTTCCTCATTAAAATGTGTAAGATGCACTTCCAAAAAGTTTGATGAAGTATTAGCATACTAAGATTAATTAGAGGTACCATAAATCTAAATAAATTAATTATTAGTAAGATGGTAATAAGAGATAGGGGGAGTGAAAAATCAATCCACGTTAATTATATATTCTTGGAGGAGCGAAGTGATTGGTGTTTGTTATTAACAGTTTCAGAATTTGCTTGTCTAATTCAGTGTCATTAGTTGATCTATGTCAATTCATATTTCCACAATATCAACCAACTACTCGAATTCATGACGATGTTTGGAAATAATCTATCATTTTAAAAAAGAATTGAACTTCATGTGTTGTTGAGACCACACACATATATTTGGTGGTTAGCTTGTCAATTTTAGTAGTTCCCACTATACACCATTCATACAAGTTGAGCAACCACTTTCAAAAAAACGTTCTTCTTCGATTCAAGATCATCAATCGATTCACTCTGTTCCATTCTACCACGAGACTGTGAATGAACAATTTCAAAAATTTGGGACCTCTGGATTAATTATTTTCTTGATTACCGGCTGGTAGGGGTGGGCAAAAACCACGGTTTTAAAATAACCAAAAAAAAAATTTCTTTCATTTTGAGAATTGGAATTGAAATTTAACCAAAATTTTTACAAACTAATTGATTCGGTTACCAAGAAAATCAGTTTGATTTTGATTTTTACTAAATAAATATTAATCAATTATTTTCTAATAATATATTATATTTTATTTCATATTTTTTTCATATTTTATCATATTTATCCTAATTTCAATTATCAAGAGGCTTATTTTCAATTTTTGATTTTTAAAAGTTTAATCAAAATCAAATCAAAATTTATTTGGGTAATATCAAAATCAAAACAATAAAAACCAAATCAAATTCATTTTTTCGATTCAGTATTTAGCTAATCTGTCGGTTCGGTTTCAAATGCTTAGCCCTACCGGCCGACAGCTCTGATATTTCCTTTTCCCTTTGGTACCCATCTACTGTTTTCTGTACAGATAACAACTATAAACCAAGTCTGGGTGACAGGTTGGCTTCACCTTATCCTTCATACAGTATTGCCGTACTAAAGATATATGTGGTTGTTTGGTACAATTTGGTTTCGATCTAATTGAAATTAATATTTAAATTATTTTTAATAGTTAAAACTAAATTAAAAATCTATATATATAAAATATTATTTTATATATTAAACAGGATATATAAAATATATGTATGTAGAATATATAAATTATTATATTATTATTATAAATGAAAAAAATTATAAATAATAATGTAAATGGTAGATAAAGAGATAAATAAATGAAAATATACAAATAATATGCAAATAATAAAAGTAATGATTGATGAATAAATGTGGTAGATGAACAGACAATTAAATGACAATAATGTGGTAGATGAAGAGGCAAAATAAAGAAAAGTATGCAGATAATAAAAGTAATTAAATGATGAATAAATGTGGTAGATGAAGAGATAAATAAAGAAAATATGAAAATAATAAAAGTAATTAAATGATGAATAAATGCGGTAGATGAAGAGGCAAATAAAGAAAAATATGTAAATAATAAAAGTAATTGATTGATGAATAAATATGGTCGATGAACAAACAACCAAATGATAATAAAGTGGTAGATGAAGAGGCAAATAAAGAAAATTATGCAAATAATAGAAGTAATTGACTGATGAATAAATGTGGTAGATGAATAGACAACCAAATGATAATAAAGTGATAGATGAAGAGGCAAATAAAGAAAAATATGCAAATAATAAAAGTAATTGATTGATAAATAAATGTGGTAGATGAACAGATAATTAAATGATAATAAAGTGATAGATGAAGAGGCAAATAAAGAAAAATATGCGATAGTAAAAGTAATTGAATGATGAATAAATGTAGTAGATAAAGAGGCAAATAAAGAAAAACATGCAAATAATAAAAGTAATTGATTAATGAATAAATGTGGTAGATGAAGATACAATTAAAGGAAGACAAATGGAAAAAAAATTTCTAACAGAAAGAAGATGAAGAGTCAAATGTCAACTATTTAAATTATTTACGTTTTTTTCATTGTTATTTTGTTTTAAAGATTTTTTTTAATCCAAAATTTAGTTGCAGGAAATAGTTGCTTAGATTTCTTTTTTCTCAGTATAAATAGGTATTTAATTTTAACCATAAAATTTTCCCCTAATTATGTTAAATCTTTTCATTTATTTTTAAATACTTTATTGCTAAATTTTCAAAAAAAAAAATCTTCAAGGTAAATCAATTGTAAAGGATGTGGAATATGTATTTATTTATCAACTTTCACTTGATAAAGAAGATTGAAAGATTAAAAGTATGAATATGTAAATTATGGAATGTTTTTAGTTTAAAACGTGATATAGACCATTTAACTACTAAACTAATTTTGGTCGATGAGAGGGTAATTTTATATTACGTTTGATTTTTTAGGTATTTAAAGATTTCTATTAATAATAGCTATTTATTTATAGAAAAATTTTATTCATACTAAATTTAGAGGTCCAATACTCTATAATTCAATAATAAATTAATTGAAGGGAATATTTATGACAAAAAAAATTTTTTTTGTAGAAAATATAAGAATATCTATAATTTTGTTTCTTATAACAATTATAAGATCCCATTCCATCTTAATTCAATTGTCAAGAAATTGAATAAAAAAGTTACAGTAATCTCAAATTTTATATTTGAACTTATTGATTATAGGAACTTATTCAAGAAAAAGAAGAAATGCTTTTATAGTATTTGTTTTTTATTTTAAAATAATTTTATTACATAAATATGTAACTTATTTTTACTAAAAATATTTTTATTAAAAATTTAGATATTATTTGAGTTTTAGTCAGTGTTGAGACTTTACAAGAAAAGCAAGCAAATGATAATGATGTTCTCTACATAGAGTTATATATAAAAGATCAAATATAAATCATATTAAAGTTATTGCATGAAATCTATTTAAATTTCATTTTTCTTCAATTAAATAAATTATAATATTTGATTAATTAATTATAAATGGTTAGTTGATATAGTTTTATATTTATTGACGCAAAAACTACTTAAGTATAATACTTTAATCTTCCATAATAAATTAATTTAAGCAAATCAAATTCTCTAATAACTCAAATGTAGAGGTTGATATTATCATATCTATTATTGTTAAAAACAGTAGAGATAAAATATATAATAAAGTTTATAGTTTTTTTTTATTAAAAAACACAAATTGTGTATCTTAATTTTTAAATAAACCATTTTTTATATTAGGAGTTTTATTATGGAGCTCTCAATCTACAAAG